AACAAAACGCGTAAAACGAATAAAAATAAATAAACTAAAGATTGACTTAAACGTAACCACGACGTGGTCAAAATGCCCACGACGTGGTGAATGTTCAGACAAAAAAATAAATACAGAAATATAAATTTTTGTGACTTTTACCCCACAAAAAGGATTGAATAACTAAAAGCAATTAAACTAAAAATCAAATCAGCCGTTCCCCGGCAACGACGCCAAAAACTTGATGTGTATAAAAGTATACCTATAAACTTTTAAATTTATAACCTAACAAAATTTAACTAACTATGCACTTATAAGCAGTGTACCTAGATGGATTAAAGAATAGTAAATAAGTCGGGTGTCAATCACAGGGAACGATACTTAATTAATAAAATAACTACTAAAAGGTAAACTAAGAAAAACAACTAAATATGGGTTTTTTATCTGATTTTACAAGTTCAGGAAAACTTAAATTAAAATACCTAATTAATTACTAGAAAGATGATTTAAAACCAAGAATAAAAGATACTTTTGTTTAGCTTCGAATCCCTCATGTTTCCTATGGTTGATTTCAAGATAATAGATTAATCTCGTTACTTACCAAATAAAAGTTACTAGTCATCATGATCAGACTAACTAGCATAAGTAAATTCAATAACTTTAACCCCAATGATCATGCAAGTTAAGGACACTAAATTAATTTTAAAGGTAATTTGGACTCTGAATGATAGAATCACGAGACTACCATTCTTTGGTCATGTCTAGTAATCAAGCAAATATTATGATCAAATACCGCTCTCTAACACAGTTAAGTAACTAACTTATCACCTATAGTAGGATATGTCTAATCACTAGCTCTAACATTTTAATGATCATAAATAGCTAGTTAAATCAATTTCATGCAATTAACTGCAGTTTAACTACACAATCTTGAGACAAGGCAATAAAGATAGAAACTTTAACAGGTTGGGTTTAGATTTATCAAACAATATTTAAAGCTAAAACTAGCTTCATCAATCCATCAAACAAGAAATCAACACATAGTATTCAGGAGTTCATCTAATCTAAAGGAAAGCAAGGGTTATTAGCCCATATTAACAGTTGGAAAACACATAAACAAAAGGAAAACTAGGCTAAACATCATTAACCTAAGCAAACCGAATGTGTAGATGCGAATTCTTGCTCTAATCTCTTTATCGTTTGATCTCCAGTCGAATTCTGTAACGCCCGTGTTTCGGGGCTAACCATTATTAGATGATGTAATAGTCTAGGTCAACTATTGTAAATCTTTTTGAAGTAATAAAGATAAATTATTTGAGTATTATGTGATTTATGTGCTTATATATTTGATTATAAAGAAATAATAAAAATAAGCGTCAAAATTTAAGTTTTGAATAAACTCGATATCGACACATAAAGTTGTAGTGGTCGAAACAAGGATTCCGGGGATATAAAGAACGCCGAAATCCGAGTTATAACGAAGAAGTTATGACCCGTCGAAGTTTCGCGACGGAACCGACATGGCACCGGGAAACGTAAATAGTGAATTTATGATAGTGGACTTTTTAGCCCTAACAATCTGAACAAAAGTCGTAGTGTTCGTTAAACCGAGAGCGTGCGTAAAAAGAACGCCCAAATCTGACTTCGTATGAGGAAGTTATGATTTTTCTAAGTTTCGGATCAGCAGTGCATAGCCCGAAGTTCGAATAGTAGATCGGTCGATTGTTGGCCGACACAACCCAAACGAGAATCGAAGATCTCGTTAATAGCAGTGCAACGGTAAAAAGACAGACGAAAACGGAGTCTGTGTGTGGAAGTTATAGTTTTACACGGTCGTTTAACGGTGTAATCTTCTCATACTATTAAATTTAAAATCGGTCGAGAATTAACCGACAAAGTCTAAACGAAAGTTGTAGAGTACGATCTCACCTACGCGTGGATATAAAGAACGTCGAAAAAGGAACTCATATGCGAAAGTTATGAATTTTAGAAGTCGAGTGTCCAAATTACGAAGCTGGATGCGAGGCTACGCCCAGCGTAGACTTCAGACGCCTCGCGTACCAAGTACGCCCCGCGTACGAGGACCCTACGCCCCGCGTATTGACTTTTTCTGCGGTTCCGAGACGGCCACGTCGCCCCACCCGAAGCGAGACACCTGCCCCTACGCGCAACGTACCACCGAGGGTACGCCCAACGTTCCAAGGAGGCTCGCGCCTATAAAAGGGCTGCGAGGGCTGCCGAAATTTTTGCTCATTTCCTCAACTCTTTCTCTCTCTATCTTCTCTCTAACTCACCCAAACACCCCCCCCCCCAAAGCCTAGGTACCTTCCTAGCAATAGAAGAAAACCTCGGAGACCCCGGAGTCTCCGAGAAAAAGAGTTTTTCGGTTTGAAACTCTGCCCGAGCAGAGCCCAGTTTTCAAGCAAACTTCCCGGTTTCGTCAAAGAAGGTTATTTTTAGAAGCGAGGTGTTGTCCAAATCACTCCGTATCAGGTGAGTGTATAGTCACTTTCATCTTACACATAGATATGAAGTATTTCATATAAATTATATGCTATGTGTATATATATGTTATCTGTTTACCTGAGATGTTTGCTGGATGAGAAGATCTATACTTCTTTCTTTCAGATCTGAAACTTTTTCCTTCAGATCTACACTTTCACATCTCAGATCTAAACTTTTTCTTCAGATCTAAACTGTATACTTTGAGATCTATATTGGATAAAAGATCTGAACTTCTTTCCTTCAGATCTGAACTTTTTCTTCAGATCTGGACCGTATATGTATTTTATGCTTTGAAAGTTATGTTGTGTGAAAAATGTGAACATTATTTTTTTTAGATCTAGATTGTATATGTATTTTATGCTTGGAAAGTTTTGTTGGATGATAGATGTAAGCTTTGTTTTACAGATCTGGACCATGTATGTATTTTATATCTACAAATATGTTAGGTAGAACATGGGTAGATGAAATAGATGATGTGTGATAAAATGATGATAGGCCTCGATGTTTACGATGTTTAAGATGATTCAGTCATCTAGCGGAGTATAGATGACGACCACGGACTTTTCTAGGCAGTCCAGTGGAACGCTAGCAGGCTCGCAACCTGTAGGTGTTTTTGAAGATGTACTCCATCCCCCCATGGTTGCCTTACAGACACATATGGCTGAGGAATCCCCTTCGCAGTAGTGTCCATCCCGATGTATTTCCTTAGAATAGGTCCCTTAGAATAGATGTTTTAGGGGCGTAAAGTGAGGATAACGGGAACGGGTAATCGGGTTAATGATTTGATGAAAATAAATAATGAACTTATTATTGTGGGTTGAAAACCCTATATGCTCACCAGGCTCCCCAGCCTGACCTACTCAGTTTCTTGTATTACAGGTAGTGGCAAAAGCATAGTTGGATGATTTGACGAGAGATTACGGATTTAAGGCCAGCTAGTGATTTGTGGCCTAAGACGTTTATTTCTTTTTAGTTTATGTTTATGGTTTGTATCGATGATTGACATCCCGATTTTTTGTAATGTAATGAAAACACATTTCTTTAAGAAATGCTTTGATAAAATTTATATCATATTTTGTTTTGGAAACAAATTCCGCAATACTTTTCTTAAGAAGTTACTCTGATTTTTATTAAAAAGCATAAACGAAATCGGTCTTTTCTGGTCGTGAAAATGGGGATGTCACAAATTCCACCTTCCAAGGGTTCTTGGAAGGGTTTTTCTTCGCCAACTGTGGCAGCCCTCTGGCCTCTCACGTCTAGAAACGACCTAATGTCCGGACTACATACACTTGCCTAAAATTTGGTCACCACGTCATGGTAGATTGGCACCAAGTCGTGGTCTTCATAGATATCCCTTATTCTCCAAGTCAGGTCAATGCTCACGAAGTTTCCATTTACCACGTCGTGGTGGATGGATGATGATCACCACGTCGTGGGAGTTGGATTTCACATTTTTGGCACAAACACGAAAGTCATCCGAAATTTTGTCTGGTTTTCAGATCATTTTGAATCGCCTTAATCGGAGTTACAAGTCATGAGATTTGGCACAAACATGAAAATAGGAACTCTATATCTTCTTGGGCCCAAAATTGATTGAAGCACTTGAAAACTTCATTGAGCATTTTATCAAACACTTGGCGGGTAGAAAAAGAAGTGACTAATTTGCACCAACAAAACTTGGTAATTTTACCTAGGCATAACCCTTGAAGAGGGCATCAAGCAAGCAAGCATCAAACACAAGAGCACAACACTAGCAACAACATTACATAGAAATTTATTTGAAGGTTTATGGTTCATAAAAGAAAAAAAAAACTGGTCCTTCATAATATTAATGCATACAATTTAACAAAAAGTAAAACAAAATAGTATATGTAAACTGTATGATACTAATGCATAAAATCAAACATTTTATTAAAAAATAGTGACATTAAACACTTTAAAATAGATATTTCAGATATAAATAGAAAGTTTTTTGAAAAGAAGTAAAAAAAACATCTAAAATTTGAACAGACCAACTATTAATCATTTTTATATATGCCCTTAAAATACATGTTAAAAAATCCCATAGGAAAACGCCAACTATTAATTTTCACCATATTTTTGTGTCAACTATATTTTCCATACAATCTAGTCCAAGTTTTTATTTTCATGTATTGCTATATTTTTATGGTCATAGTGCTACAATCTGGTCTTTCAATATTAAATTTAAGTTTGTTTGTTAAGAAACTGCAAAATAAAGACCAAATTTGTAAAACATAAATAAAATAAATAAATAATTGCTTCTAAATTTATAAAAATCAGTTATATACTAAAAAATATAATTTACTCTTGATAGTATAACACAAAATTTAGTTCTATAAAATTCTTGAGCTTTGCGATATGGTTGGAATGAAAATGGAGGAGAAAAATGAAATATATGACACTCGGCTGAAGTTACCCTAACAAAATCAAATCTCAAACTTGATTAACCATATTCACAATAATAGAACACAACTACAACAGAAAGAAATAAAAGAATCAGGACACTCACAACTACATTACTTACACTGTTTAGGCCTGAAATTTTCAGTACTTAAAAGATCAGATACAAGTTTCTCAAGTCTCTTTGAACTCATAGATGGTTTAATAGCATCTGCCTTTAAATAAATGACCGATCTTCCCAGAAGCTCATTGTCAATTTTGTCAAGAACCGGGTCATTTTGGGCAAAAGAATGCCCAAATGGAGCTCCACTTTCAACCATGTCAGAAAAGTGTTGGATTGTGAGATTTACAGGGTACTGTTTTGGGGGATTATCCCATTTGATGTAGTGCATGTCATGGTTGACAGTGGTGTTCTGATAGTCTTTATGGTTACAGATGACAGTGTGAAAGTATCCTTCTGGAGATGATAAGAAGTTTGTGTAATACATAAGAAGAGTACGAGGAAGATTATCCCATCCCCAAACGCAAAACTCAAGAAAGGGTCTAGTAAGAACAACCCAAGAAGAGCCTGTTGCAGAAATGGAACAGAAAAAAAAAAAGGTAAAATCTTTTTGTATAAAATCATAAAAAAATGTAAGAGGTATAGCAGAAGTACACACCCATGAACAACTTGAATGAAGAAGGCATGGATCGTTTCTCTTTGGCCCAGAAAACACCAGATTTCTTTGAATGATATAAACCGGGATCAATTATGATTGGCCTTGCCCTTTGAAACCTGCAAAGATATAAGGTAAGAAATTGAAGTATCGATGAACATCTTATCTGAGAAACGATGAAGGAGATCCAACTATGAGCTGCAAACTCACTCTTTCCAGCCGATGTTGGTTGTGTGCTCAAGAAAGTTCAAATCCCTTGGCAAATAGGAGAAAATGTGGAGAATATCTGAAAATTAGAACAACAAAAAGAGAACGAGGTCGAAAATCAAAACATCATATTGAAGCTGAAATTAGATCACTGAAATTGGTAAAACTAACCATCTTGAGGCATAAGAGGATAATCTGAAGCACTGAGATTGATAAACCAGTTCCAGTCCTTTCCTTGCTTCAACAAAAGAGCAATAGCGTGCAACATACAAGCAATCATGGTAGGTCCCTTAGAAGTCACCAAATTAGCTTTTCCAACCACCATCACATTGTTTACCTCCTTGAAATTCTTCGCGAGATCAACTCTCTCTGCATCAGAAGCTTCCAGATCCAGATGCAACAAGTAATAATTTCGCGGATGATACACCGCCCGGAGCAACCGGTGCAGACGAACACCGTCGCCTCTTGTACCGGTGATGAAGTAAGCAAACCGAGGAACCTCAGGCAAGTTATTGGCTGTGTTGGAGATTGAATTGGAAATGGCGTCGGAGTTTGAAAGGGTTTTGGAAATGGAATGTGGGGATGATCTTAGAGCGAGAAAAAGGATGAGAGAGAGTGCGGTTAAAAGGAGGAAGAAAGGGGCGAGATAGTTGTTGAATCTTTGATGGGAAGTGAATCGAAATCGAACGTGTGATCGTTTGGTAGTCATATTTGGAATCAACAGAATCGAGTGGGGAAGACGATCAGACAAACACTTTGACTCATTATTTCCTTTCCTTACCCCAAACGAGTACTTCCTCTTTTGTACGATAAAATGGGGAAAGTATAATGGAAGAGTTCAACAAAAAAAAGTTATCTGATATGTTTGCAAACATGTTTTTTATTTGTTTACTTTTTATTTTTATTTTGAAGATATTGAATGATAATTTATAATATTACCTATCTATCAAAATACTTTATTTCCGATAACGCAAATACTTAAAAATAAAAAATAAAAAAATAATAAATAAATCAGGAGTTTTAATTAAATCCAATATTTTTTTTAGAAAAACTAAAAACATAAACTATCATAATTTTATTTGAACTTTAATGGATTTTTATTGTATTTAGTTCTTTTTCATAAATTATATCTATTGAACATGATTAAATAATAGAGATATTTGACCTGTTAGCTACGGCTGTAAACGAACTGAACGAACACGAACGAGAGTTCGTTCGTTTAAGTTAGCCGAACAAATAAACGAACACGAACGGATAAACGAACGAGTTTTTTTGTTCATGTTCGTTTGTTTACCAAATTACATTGTTCATGTTCGTTCGTTTATGTTCGTGAACATGCTAAACGAACATAAATGAACAAAGATAAACAAACATAATTGAACCTATATGAAAATAAATGAATATATAATATATTAATATAATCAAACACAATTAAACATATATGAACATAAAAGGAACTTATATAAACGAACATAAACAAACGTAAACGAACAACATAAACGAACGTAATCGAACAAACGAGACCATTATTCATGTTCGTTCGTTTAACTAAACGAACGAGAATTTGTGTTCATGTTCGTTCATTTATTAAATAAACGAACTTCCTGTCGAATGGTTCACGAACAGTTCGCTGAATGTTCAGTTCGTTTACAGCCCTACTGTTAGCCACACAAAAAAACGTCCCTCACATAATATCTTTTTCCAAGTACATCATATTATAACCAAGATTTTTGAAAATTCCAAATTTAAAATTTTCGTAAATGTTTTTTCAGACAAAAACTGTTTCGGACATATTCTATAATAATTTTATTTGAAATATTTTTTTATTTATAAAAGGTAGTTTTGAAAATAATTGAAATTTGCAATTTTCATAGATCTTTGTTATAATATGATATTCTTGGGAAAAATGGTTATTATGCAAGACATGTTGTTTTAACGTAGATGAGATCAATAATATGAATAATATATAGTTATAGTTAAAATTGAACATTGTATTTATACATAATATAAAAAAAAAAGATATTTTATTCGTGAAACAAACTAAACATTATATATAATGAGTTTTTTTATAGTTGTTGACTAAGTCGGGGTCTCACTGACTCTGAAATTCTGATTGTATATATCTCTCTGTAATTGAAACCATGTTGTTTGATTACGCATCTAACTAGTTGCGTTGACTGCTAAAAATTATCATTTTATCTTTATATTCTCTTTTGTACCGAATATCATGTATTTGTTTGATAAATTTGATAAATAGTTGTACAAAATATCATATAAAATCCAATTTAAACATAAATAATTAGAAAGCCTATAAACAAAAATGATGGTATAAATATTTGTGTGATACACATGAAGCTATGATCTCCTGTGAAAGAACCCACATTAATGAATATTGAAAATATATAACAATTACAAACAACAAAATATGGAGCAAATTACATACCACATGCTTTTCTAAAATTTAGTTGGGAAAATCGACAAAACTTTATCACCTTGGCATCAATTATATTTAACTAAATCAATCAGTCATGTATGATGCATCTAAACAAGAACAAGTGATAAAGATGTGGTGAATAACCTCGATTAGATTGGAGCCTTGAAGATAAACAGCATGCATAATGATTTAGCTTGGTTGAAGAGTTAATGTCTCGTCATTAACAACCATCTTTAGAATTTTCCTTCCACCTTTTGTAGTCACCTTTTCATTTTAATCGTATTTGTAGATGACTATGGAGTTCTGTATCTAAAATCTACTAGAAAAATCAACAAAATTAACACATTAAACTGATTAAATGAACACATTAACACATTCAAAAACTTCACAACTTTAACTAAATTAGGTCAAAATACATGTCTCACATTCCATATCACCATTTTTATTAAATCGCTGGTAAATTTTACTTAATAAGTTGTCTATCGAGTAGGTGGATACCATTTGACACTTTTCTCTCAATTCTCTAGATTAGTGAAAGAGGCATGATAATAGTGAGAATGTAAGAAGAAATAGTTTGTATTTATGATTAGAGAGGATATGGTAATGTGTTTTAAAATTCAACCAAGAACAAAATGGAGAAAAAAACAAAAACAAGAAGTAACAGTTAAGAGGCAATACCTTTTACTTATGCAATTTGACCAAGAGCACAAACAAAGAACAAATCATAATGTAGAAGGAATCAATGGTGATGAAGGAAAAAGGCATTTGTGAAGGAGTGGCAGAGGAAGGCGATGTAGAGACAAGAAGGAGTGGAGCCGGCGTTGGGCGGAGGTGGGAGAAGCCTGAAGCCGACACCTGGAATAGGAACTGTCAAAGAGTGAAGCGTAGTATATTATGTAAAAGTGGCCTAATTGTGGAAATAGACCCGGTCAACATCTTTTTACCTCATGACCGATTCAAGCATAATTGAGTGAGTCAGTAGTTTCTTTTACTCTCATCAAACGAGCTGACCGGCCGAATCAGAGAAAAACCTCTGACCGGATAATCAGCACATAATCAAATAGACCCTAAATGTAATAACACTTTTAATTGTTCTATTTATTTAATTATCTCATCAATTCTATTCTCTCTTTATTTAATTTCATTCTACCAAAGTTACTTATAAATTTAAATCAAATGGTCTTTGTCGTGATGATATCAGATTAGGTGTACCGGAAAGGTGTATAACGACCAGAAGAATGAAAATCTAAATCACCTGGTGGACAAATATATGAAGTTATAGATAGGATCGCGTGGTGTTTATATTAGTCGTTCTTAAAAGAACCAATAAATATATATTCGACTAATCAAGCTTGATTTGTTAAACCATATACTATAAAACTTTTACTAAAATTATGTTTATCAAGCAATACGAACTCAAGCTCAACTATGGTTCTGACAAAGATCTATAAGTCTTGAAAACTTATACATATACAAGCATTATATAAAACATTAAGTACTATAAAACTCAAGATGAATTTGAATTCAATCTTTATATGCTCTACCTCCTTCCTTATATGTTTTAATTTGAACTCAATAAAATCTATTTCAAACGAGCTTAACCTGATTTCAAACTCGAATAATCAAAAACTCAAAAAATTTACCATATTACTTTTATTTATTAGAACTATTAGCAATATTGTTACTATCATCTTAATGATCATCACACATTGTTTTTATACTGTAATGCTAAAAAGCATTCAAAGTAGAAAATGAATATGTTATTTTTTTCCTACTTTTTTAATGTTGGTATAATACATATATTTTTCTATTTTGGTACTTTTAATGTTGGTATAATACATACATTTATTAAAAAAAACACTTGGCCCTTTTAGTTACGAAGAAGACGAATTTTGTATTTAAATTTACGACCAACAACTCAGGATAATCAGATAACATACCAAAACATGATTTAACTCGATTAACCATCCATAAATATCCATAATGTTTATATATTTGGTCAACCGAACTATCTATACCATTTTTAATTTGAGTTATTCGATTTCGTTTTATTTACAGTTAAATTACTGAGGGATTTATCCATAAACGATGTCATAAATATCTATAATGTTTATATATTTGGTCAACCGAACTATCTATACCGTTGGATTAGAAACATTTTGGTAAAATTGGTTCCACACTAGGCACTAAGGTAGCGTTTGGTACATAGACAAGATTTGACTGGACTGGACAGAACTGGACTGCACTGCACTGGACAGAACATAACTAAATAACTTGTCTAGATTGTGTTTGGTACGACAATGTTGGGATGGAACAAGACAGTAAAATTACCACATCGTCCCTACACCACATAATAATTATAAGTAATGTATGTCATATATATATATATATATATATATATATATATATATATATATATATATAGAGAGAGAGAGAGAGAGAGAGAGCTAGGTTCAGGTATAAAAAGTAATTATTGTGTTATTGTATGCATCAATGTGGGTCAATCAAAATAAAATAAAAAATTAAATAATTAAATAAATAAATAAGGGTAATTTAGTAATTTGTTTAGTAACTTCCAAAAATAATGCCTATAATCATGGTATACCTAAATAAATAAGCGTGGTCCCCTCTCAATTTCATTCTCCAATGTGGTACAGTCTGCAAATTATGGAATTCCCTCGTCACAAGCAACGATTTCATCTTCGCTCATCACAATTTAACCAAATCGATCATCGAAAACGGAAATCAAACGCTATTGATCAGGTATTTCGATCGAAAATGGAGGTATGTTGATTTTGATTTCACAGGAAACCCTAAATTTGTATATTGTCGCCCTCTTCCACTTCATGTTGCATTCTATTTCGATTTTGCTTAAATAATTCGAAATCAAAGGTAATTTTTTTTTTCAACAGTGACCAGTATCGTCTTCACAAAATCGAACCATTCAACGAAATCGACGGAAAAGACGCAATCGGCGACGAAATGGACGCGCCGGAGGGTGGAGCTGGCGGGAAAGTAGGAGAAGAAAAGGAGATTGGAAAAGAGGGGTTGAAGAAAAAGATCCTTAACGAAGGTGATCACTGGGATACCCCATTAATGGCGATGAAGTTGAAGGTAATTTCCATACATTTTCTTCAAAATCAAAACTTTCATCCTTTGCATGAATTTCGATTTGGGAATTCCATAATGTAGCATTCTGATTCAATTCTACAGTTCACTATGTTGGAAGTTTACTCGATGGAACTCGATTTGATTCAAGCCTCGATCGGAAGCTGCCATTTAAGTTCAAGCTCGGGCTTGGTAAGAGTAATTCTGAGCAATTTCATATGATAATTCTTCTTTCTAAATTAGTAATCGTATTTGGAACATTACCCATGAGTCGATTTCTGCAATCTTCTCGATATTCGTTTTTGCCATTACATGACACGTGATTCAAGGGTGGGACGATGGTATCAAGACTATGAAAAAAGGCGAAAAATCCATTTTTACAATTCCTCCCGCTCTTGCATATGGTGAATCTGGATCGCCTCCCACTATTCCTCCTAATGCATAGGGTGTTTTTGTCCTGCTTTGTCAAAAGCTGTGAAAACAATGAAGAAGGGAGAAAAAGCCCTCTTTACAGTGAAGCCACAATGTGAGATTTTCATTTTTTGAATTTGAATCAACACGAAATTTTAGTTTATTATATTTCACATTCACAAGATTGAATCTTGAAGGGTTTTTTCGTCATTTTTGATGGATAGATGGATTTGGGGAGAACGGGTGGGACCCATCAGGTGGTGATGAATATGTTGTGCCACCAAACACCACCATTCACCACGTTTGAAAAAAAAACATATTATTTTAATGGTATATTTGTTATTAATGGGATTTTGCATTGTTCAAATGATACTCTGTGATTAAACATTTTTTGATGATTCTATGGAAGAAATTCTATGCTCGAGACCAGAAGTCAATATAGAGAATGCTTGGAGAACCTTTCCACTATGTGAAGTTCTTGCAGCTTCGAATTAAGGTATATACACAGTTGTTAAGCTATGATAAACCATACTTCACTTTTTCCATATTAATTTACAGACATGATGATCGAGGTGACTAATTTTTTCCTAACTTTATGCAGCTGCTAAGCTCAGATGACATGTAGGTTTAGGTTTTGAAGAGGAAAAGAAAGAAACCATGGAGGGACGATAGTATATTCTAGCAGAATGTATTCATACAGAATGCCATTGACATTGTGTTCTTAAAGAATGGAGGCATGTTAATATAATTATTGGTAAATAAATTCCAATTCTATCCGAATGGAATCACGAATTTCAATTATGTTCGAATGGAATATGGATATTTTCTCACTAATTTATTCATTAGATTTGTTTCCACAGAAGCTGATGCTTGAAGAACGGACTACGAAATTTGAACGACGCCTCTTAACAACATTATTCTTTTAGAATGAATTATTGTCTTTGTTAGATTTTGATTTTTTTTTTTCAAGATTTGAAAGTTTTTTTAGTTTTATTCTTTAACAATAAATGTAATTCTTAGTAATTGTTACATGTATTCTATAAGAATTAATGTAATTTTTGTTTTAATTCTTAAATTGATGGTTCGAGAATTTTGTTATTCTACAAGAAATTTTTAAAGTCATGATCAAGAAATATGTTCAAGAATATTTTTATTATTTTATGGTTCAAGAATATTTTTATTTTTGAACATACTCAAACATATTCTGTCAGAATGTCCGAATCTAAAACTTTATAATTCATAAAATCGGATTTTTTAAATTAATAGAATCTATGATTGCATAAAATATGCAAATTTCCTTTATTAAATTTATATTAATTGACTAAAATACCCTTCTAGTTAGAATAGATGGTATTTTTGAATTATATTTAATTCAGTAATATGTAATAATCACTTACTTAAAATAAGTAAAATTGATTGGCCCACATTTATACATACAATAACACAATAATTACTTTGAATAGAATAACCTAAGCCTATATATATATATATATATATATATATATATATATATATATATATATATATATATATATATATATATAAATTGCGGATGCTACTATATAATTTATGTTAATTGTACCGAAACAAACTAGCTTAAATGATAGATCTTGAGATTCATTTAATTAAGTATAATGAATGAATACAAATTTATAAGATTGAAAGGTAGAAGTTGATTGGTATTTACAGATATTGAGTTTTGTGAAAGTGTTTGTAGACAATATTTTTGAGTATGATTATATACACCTTAAATATAAAACTATTAAATACTTACTAGAATTTTTTTTAAAGTACTTGATACATGTTTATTTAATATTATATATTGAATTTAAACAAGAGGGTATTAAATTCTATTTGGAAACTAAAATACCAACCATGATAATGTTTATGAATATTTTATGATAATTGTGTAAGAAAAAAAAAATAACAAGTTTTCTTTATTTTATTAGAAGTCGTGCAACTGCATGGGGGGGGGGGGGGGGGGGGGGGGGTAATTTGAGTCTTAATTTTTCTTGGCCATGCTTGTTCCATCAATTTTAGTGGGACTAAAATTTAGGGGTTTACTTACATTTGACTTGGTCTTTGTTCCATTCAATTTTAGTTTCATCATAACCAAACGATATCTCAACCGATTTTGTTATGTTATGTTTTATTCAGTCTCACACACCAACCGGTACCTAAGAGAAACATGACTACGAGATGGCATTGTGAAATAGCTTATTGTAGGGCCCATTTACAAATGGTCTGATGCAAAATGTAAGTATAAATGTGAAAATAATATCGTTTGTGGGTAAAATCAGTGTGGTACCTGTTAACATCTAACGATAGTGGTTATTCATTTATTTGTGGGATGCCATTAATTTTTTTATTTATTATTATATAATAGTTTAGATAAATGGTTATATTTATATTTTTTTTTAATTTATTAACTAAATTCAAATTCAATTATATAATAGTCCAAAGTCTAAATGGGTTGAAACGAAAGTTGGGCCGCTAAAATAGTAAACTATTCGAATGACCGAAATCCAAATAACCACTTCAATGGCTCCGAATCCGAAGGTTCGACTTGTATGAGGAGGATTTTTAACATTTTGATCGGGTTTGTAAACACTCTGATTCCACATTCCGTCTACCAGGCTATAGCACCTGCTCTCGCGAAGAAGTAGAAGTTCGCTCTCCAAGATTGCCAATGTCAGGTTTTTTCCTATTACGATGTCGAGTGATCCATGATTCCTTATTACAATTATCACTATAATTTCCGATTAGGTTTACGTTACAGCTTCTTCAAATTTTATGTAATCGCATCATCGGGGTTGATATGATGATATCTATATGATTATCATCGGTTTCTACCTTTCGTTTATCTAAACAAGTTTGTATTTCAAGTTTTGCATTTAGATATAAGTTAGGTAAGTATTATGGATGCATATGATGTTGGATTTTGGATTAGTAGAAATTGTGGATGGCTTTAGGGTTTTGCGAGTAGAGGGACTGAATTATCGATGTGATTTCTCCACTGGGAAATGATGAAACGAAAGTGATTTTAGAATGGATTTACATTTACAAACCCTAAATGTTGTGTGTTGTTGCAAATCATGTTTGTGATACGACTGATATATGTTCTTGTTGTATCTTATACAGATGTTTAACGATCAGGACCTGGGATTCTTTGCCAATTCTCTTGGCATCTTCATATTCTTTTTGGTTATCGCTTATCATTTTGTGATGGCAGATCCAAAGTATGCAGGAAACTAATGGTTGATTTAGATGATAGCACCAGAAATGTAACTGGATTATGTTTTGATATGATGTAGTGGTAGACCTTGAGAAAATGCATGATGTGAGACAATATATGAACTAGTTTGGTCAATTTTCTTTCTTTGTGCACCTTAAACTCAATTTCTTTGTTCAAAATACACCATTATCTCTGTCTGTGTTGAGCGAATATATGTTGGAAATGATTGGTTTTCAGAAGTGAAAAGTAAAACAGAAGATGGATAATTACGGACTTTAAGAATTAAATTAACAGAAAATTGAGGACTTGGGAACAGGAAATTTGAGTTTGTATGTCTCAAAATACCTACTACATTAAAATTTAAACACAGGCAAAACTAAACAATCATTTAGGTGGCTCACCGAGTAAAGATTGGGCACCCCATAAGTGAAGTCTCAGATCCAAGGAATGGTCGGGAGAATGGAATTTTCTTCCCCAAATTTCGCAAAATGAGGGGCTACAGTGGGCAGCAGTCATTAAAAATAGATAAAATTTCAAACTTATATAGACACCTAGTACGTTTGACCAAGCACAAGCACAAGCACATGTACCATTTATGTAATTTTGTCTTAAAAATATCTCTAAAACATTTTTTTTCCTTCAAAAATACTGTCATCTACAATTTCACTAGAAATAGGTATGAGTAAACATAAGGGGACCAACGTAATAAGCCATAAGATGTCATTTGTCATTAGATAAATTCAAACAAATTTGTGATAATCCTTCATCTTTCCTTCATTATTGAATCAATATTTTTTTTTTTTTAATATTTACTAGTCAAACTATTAATCTTTCTATATCTATCTAATAACAATGTTGAACAAAAGGAGAAACCAATATAAATGATTATCAAAATTCATGATATTATATCGCCACTCCCAAGTTTAGCCCCTTTTACATGATAACAATACAACAACATAAGAAGCTAGAGAGATGATGATGATGATCATGAAGCCATAGTCTTTTATCACATTATATTATATTACCACTCCTAGTTTTGCCCCTTTTTCATGACAACTTGGGAGGAAAATGCCATACATACCAAAGTGGCAAATAATTAATCATTAATCAAACATACAACAAAAGAGTACACCTTGTTTTGTGCATCATATCATGTCTTAGGGTTCAACCTTGGTGAACACCGCACCCTTTGTGCCTTCAACTCAACCAAACCCTTCTTACCACCATTGCTCATCACATTCCCTATCAAATATTCAATTTGGATAATTAAAATTAATTAACAAATGAAATGACAAAACTATCCACATACCTCCTGAATCTTGAGTTTTACCAGATGTCTTGGTCTTCTTGTTCTTTACTGCAGTGGGACCCGGAGTGGATTTGGTCTCAATTTCTTCGGTTGTTGGCTCTGATACCTCATTGTTAAGCACTGAACGCTTACGCCTTCTCCCATCGATAGAATTCTTAACCTCATTATAAGGCGATGATGTGGCAGAAAGGGTATTCTTGCCTTTTTGCACATGAAAAGTAGTAGTATCCTTTTCTGTTGTAGTCTCAATAGTCTCTGTTTCTTCCTTTTTCCCAACCGCTGAACGCGTACGCTTCTTGCAAGCACTCACTTTGTTACCAGAAACAGTACCATTGACTTTGACCTTCTGAACTTTTGCACGAGTTGACCTGGTTGATGTTTCAGTATTATTCATCTTATCATCATCATCATCATCATCATCATCATCATCATCTTCTTCTTCTTCTTCTTCTTCCAACAATTCAGATGAAGTAGATGGGGAAAAAAAGTTTCTTGACAATATTTTCTGGTTTTGGAGCATATTCTGTTTCTGAGGAATTGAAGGTCTTTGTTTCCTTGACATCAATAGAAATTTCAAGGCTTTTATGTGACATTAAAGAAGCAAGAGCTGCACGAGCAGCTAGAGGATTGAGAGGGGATTTTTTGTCTGAAAGCTCTCCTTCAGTTGTTGGAGGTGGGATTACAGGGGATTCTTGTTTTTTTGGTCCACCCTTTTGCTTTTGACTCCGGGTTGACCTCCTTGAATGATTTTTTTTCAGTTGAAATTTCGACTTTCAGTGTTCTTCCATTTGGCTTTGAAACATCTGTTTCATTTACTTGTTTGTTAGTAAATAGTAATGACTAATAATAATCACCAGATATGTATGTTCTCATTGGAAATAAATAACCACAACAGGAATGCTTGTTATGTGTTTAATCTAATATTCTGAAGTTTAGTATGTGTTTGAAATGCATCATGCTCGATTCCTTAGTTCATGTATGTATGTATGTTGGTTATGGAGTTTACCTTCAAACATAGAAATCTCATCTCTAATTCTCTTTTTGGAACCATGAACTGAGTTTCTGATTCCTTCAATTTGTTTTTCTAACAAGTCATGTAGATCCAGATCAAAGTCACCAACAATGTCCATCTGTGGAGACATATCTGAGTCACTTGAGTTACTCAGCTGCACTGCATCTATGAATGCTGAAATTGTTGGATGATGATTGATGCTTTTGTTAGCTAATCTCATTACTGAAGAAGAAGGAACTGTTAAACTTCCACCATTGACATCTTTTTTCAGCCATCTAATCATGAAACTACATCTACATTTCGTCCTCTTTGAATGCCTCACCCGTATCACCTGTTAATGGTGCAGATGATTAGATCATGGATGGATGAAAACAAACAATCAAATACTCTAGAAAACGAATTCTCAAGTGCAAGAAAATATACCTTTTCTACCTCTGCATCAAAGAACCCTCCTTCAGATTCTGAGTCTCGATTGACAAGAACAGTCTCACCTGGTTTGATGTGAGCACAGTCATCATCTTGGAGAGGAAGAGAACGGGCTCGAATTCGCATCAAAGCTTCTTTTTCATTCGTTAATGTATCTTGGGAATCGTTGTCCTCATATTTTACAACAAGACCACCGCCAGTTGGGCTGCAGATGATAACAGAAGACGCTGAACTTATCATAATCAGACAATATAAACAAATGCTGAGATGAAAGATCAAAATTCAACAACTAAATTATATTAATGTTTGTTAGTTCTTCTGATTTCATACGATTACACTCAATGTGGAAACCCCCCTTTTCGTTCCAAATAAGGTGTCATCTGGAATTGGAAAGTAATAATATCTCTAGGGAACTTTCCCGATTTAGGCAGCGAAACTCGGATTTAGTTTGCTTGATTCCAAACTTGAGTAGATTTGGATTATCCATGTCAAAATCAAACTCGAGCTAGAAACTTCAAGTAAACATCAAACAGAAGTGATATAAATCGATCATTAAGAAGTAAAAGCTACTAGGATCATTATAGTGAACTATTTCCAGCTGAAAAGATCATCGCGTTCCATAATAAGTAAGTGAATCACTGGAATTGGTGACGAAAAATGAAAATAAACAGATCAAAGACATTGATTTCAGACCTGAAGTAGATTTCGCAAGGTTGCCAAGAGCAGTCATCTGTTCTCATGGCTTCGAGTTCCAGGTTGACGGCACCGGCGGCGATATCATCGGTATTGGATGCCATTAATGAAATGAATTTATCATAGAATAGTTGAAGCAGCAGCTTGAGTGGGGTTTTTGGGGTAGTGCTGCAATGGTTTGATGAATAATTCAGACACAAACTCTTTTTTTAGGTACATACCCACATGCTTAATTTCCATCTTGTATCATTGTATTTGTGTACTATACGCTCTCCCCAATATTCCTAAGGACTTTGGGGTTTGTGCCACATTTGACAAAAATGTAAAAAGTAACAACATATTCACCTTGTGACATATTTTTATCTTTTATGGATATAGCAATTAACCAAAATAGACAACAATAAAATGTACTGGTTAAAACGTAAATTTTTGGTCGACTGGTCAAACATCATATGGCAGCTGAATTATCATTTAATGGATTTATGGTTGAACAGTTAACTGTTTTAGTTTTAACAGATTCTTCCATTTCACTTTTTGGTTCCCAAGTGCCTGAATATCAAATAGTGTTCACTAATAACAGGGGAGATATATGTATTATTGTATTGTCGAATTAAGGCGGCAACTTTCGATCCAACCCGTAATCCAACACTAATCTAACCCGAAAATAAACGGGTTTGGGTTGAGATTTTTGACCCGCCAACCCGTGAAACTGTTTATTTCATGGGTTGGGTTGGGTTACCTGTTTGGGTTCGCGGGTCAACCCGTCAACCCGTATATATATATATATATATATATATATATATATATATATATATATATATATATATATATATATATATATATATTACATTTAAAAAATAGATATATTCAACAAATATTGGGTTGATTTTAATCTTCTATTAGTTATAGTCGTGGTGTTTGATCCTAGATATAAGTTGACGTTTATTGACTTTTGCTATAAAAAATTTTATGGAGAAGGTTCATCACAATTTAAAGCTATTGAGAGTGTCCTTTATGAACTTTATGATGAATACGTGTAATTTTCAAAAAATGCAACAACATTCGACTCGACATCACATCAAGGGAGCAATGATAACATTAGACAAAGTAATGTTGCTTAGTTATTAAACGGGTTATGCGGGTTGGGTTCGGCCCACTAACCTGTGAACTCGCAAACCCATATATTTAAACAAGTTATATGAGTTTGGTTGGGTTGAGGTTTCCAACCCATGACCCGCCAACCTATATATTTTATGAGTTTGGTTGAATTTATATTTTCTGACCTGTCAACCCGTGATCCGTCAACCCGAACTTAACCCGATCGTCAGGCCTATGTCGAATAAAGGGTTGAATAAGAAAGATTTTGAAGTTAAAAATAATTTTTGTATTATAAGTTTTTCGATTTAAAGTATAGAATTTGTTTTTTTTTTCGAAAGAGAAAGTATAAAATTTGTTGTCAAGTCACCACAATGTAGTTTTTAGATAGATGTATTATTGTATTGTCGAATAAAGGTTTGAATAAGAAAGATTTTGAAGTTAAAAATAATTTTTATATTATAAGTTTTTCAATTTAAAATATAGAATTTGTTATCAAGTCACCACAATATAATTCTTTTCGATCATTCTATTTTACAGTTTACACTTCTATTCTTCTAATATACTATTAAAATTAAAAGATAGACATATCGGGTGAAAGGATGTCTTCGATTTTTTTCTAAACAAACGAGCTCCACCAGATTGTTGAATATATATATATATATATATATATATATATATATATATATATATATGAATTAAGCGTAATTAATGTAACTTTAAACCAAACCAAACTAGTAAACTTTGATAAGAACTTTAATTGAGAAGAAAGAATATTTAGAGAGAATATGAAAATTATATCTCTTATAACTTTTTGGTGTATCTCAATCTTTACAATGGAGGGGTATTTATACTACAAATTTTACTAATATATAATTGTAACTAGTTAGAAATGTTGACAAATTTACCATGCATCAATTATTATGTCATCCACCAATTATTTACAACACTCCCCCTTGGATGACATCATTTTAGTGTTCAACTTTGATGTACTGCCTCATTAAAAAACTTGCTAAAGAAAATGTAACGCACGTAGATCCGGGCTAGTCAATTTAAAGATAATAGGGGTCGAAAACGACTTTTAGACAAAAGATTATTTAGAATAAATAATCTTAACCAAGTTGTAGAATATGTCTCAAGGGTTTCGTACATATAAAGAACGCCGAAATCCGAGTTATAACGAAGAAGTTATGGTCCGTCGAAGTTCTACGGCAAAACCGGCACGGCACCGGGAAACGTAAATAGTGAATTTACGATAGAGGGCTTTTAGCCTTAGAAAGCTAAACAAAAGTTTTAGAATATGTTAAACCGAGAGCATCCAAATCTGACTTCGTATGAGGAAGTTATGAATTTTCTAAGATTTGGCATAGCAGTGCACGGCCCGAAACTCGAATTTTAGTTCGAGTGGTTTTTGGCTTACGCGACCTAAATGAGAGTTGAAGATCTCATTAATAGGAACTCAACGGTAAAAAGACAGACGAAAACGGAGTCCGTATGAAGGAGATACGAATTTTTCGCGGTCATTTAACAGTCTAATCTCCTTCTACTGTTAAATTTAAGATCGGTCGAGAATTAGCCGACAGAGTCTAAACAAAAGTTGTAGATCTTGTTTTTACCTACGTGTGGAAAAAAAGAACGTCGAAAACGGAGCTCGTATGCGAGAGTTATGATTTTTCTAAGTCGGGAGGGTGTTGTGCGAGTTTAGGTGACGTGGCGCGATCACAACCGTTGCTTTCTCTCCAAGGAAAGCCATCAGATGATGACACATGGCACTGATTCGGCGAGTCAGTAGACCGACTCGGCGAGTCCATCAGGAATTCAGCCTATAAATAAGAGTGTCGGGTTCCCTCATTTCCTCACCCCTCAACCCTCTTCTTTCTCTCTCTCTACTCTCTCTCTCTCTCTCTTTCTCTAAGCTCCCTAACCCCCCTAAAGTCTAGGTAAACCCCCTAGCACCCGAAGGAAGCCCCGAGGCTCCCGAAGCCCCGAGAAAAGAGCCTTTCGGCTCGGGAACGCTGCTCCGGCGAAGCCGGTTTTCGAGAAAAACCCGTTGTAAGTGAGTTATGCCTACCCTGTCTTTAGTATAGCTTATGTTTTAATATAGTAACATTATTAGGACCTTAAAATAATTATTTGGGCTATTATTATGAGTTATATAAGAGTGTTGCTTAACGCTTATATAATAGTAATAATAGCTAGACTATTAATTAGTCGCGGTTAACGTTAGACTAAACTCTAGTGGTAATGATACTAGGTTTTGTCCAAGGGAAATTGTTTTAAGATTAACGAAGCGATGTCCGAGTACCGAGTGACCACCTTATCAGGTGAGTGCATAGTTACTTTCATCTTACACATAGATATGAAGTATTTTATATAAATTACGTGCTATGTGTGCATACTATCTGAATACTTGTTGTCTATGCTGGAATAATGATTTTATACATGTTTTAAAATGATTTAAACTGTATATGTATTTTATATCTACAAATATGTTGGGTATGACATGGGTAGATGAATAATGAGAGATAAAAGATGATGTGAGTAAACATTGGCAGCTATAGACTTAGTGCCTAATAAATAACATCGGCAGCTATGGACTTAGTGCCTATTGGACAAACACTGGTAGCTATGGACTTAGTACCTATTAGGTAAACAAGGGTGGCTATGGATTTAGTACCTGTTAGGTTTTGGTAGCTATGGACTTAGTACCTGGTAGATATGGACTTAGTGTCTGTTAGATAAACGTTGGTAGCTATGGACTTAGTACCTACACTGGTAGCTATGGATTTAGTACCTGATGAATGAACTTTAGCAGCTATGGATTTAGTGCAATGGCAGCTATGGAATTAGTACCTGTCTTATAAACCCTGGAAGTAAGGGACTTCGAAATGAACGAATGCAGGATAGATGACTCTTAGGGTAGACCCTTAAGAGTAAGGAAGATAATGGGGATGGGTAACTAGGTTGTTTGTTTGATGTTTAAACATAATAATTATATTATTGTGGGTTGAAAACCCTATGTACTCACCAGGTTTCCCAACCTGACCCACTCAGTTTATTTGAATCACAGGTGTCGATATGAAGTTACATTACACTGAGAGATTAAGGAGATATAAATCACTAGTGAAAATGAATGTAAGTTCTGTTTATGCTTATGTTTCTGTATTGACGATGACATCCCAATGTTTTAAAACGAATAAAATGCATTTCTTTGGAAATGCCTTGATAACGTATTTATCATGTTTTTCTGGGAACAAATTCCGCAACATTTTTATTAAAAAGGGTACTCTGATTTTTATAAAGCATAAACAAAATCGGTCTTTTATGGCCGTGAAAATAGGGATGTCACAGAAAAACCAGTGGGAAAAAACTTTAGCGAAGAGAAAAATAGTGCAGTATATAGTTGATTCCCCCTTATTTAGATACCTATTACAATATATTCTATGCACATGTCGCATTCCAATGTCATGGACATGTTTCCTGAAGATTGCAGTAGGAAGTGCCTTCGTAAAAATGTATGCTGCATTGTTGTCAGATTTAACATATTTGATTTCAACTTGATGGTTCTTTATAAGCTCTTGAGTATACTCAAAAAACTTTGGAGGTATATGTTTTGTCCTGTCGCTCTTGATATATCCTTCTTTTCATTTGAGTGACACGTGCTGAGTTATCTTCATAAATTAAAGTTGGACCTATATCCTTTTCAAGTCAACATGAAGTTAAAACTAGTTGTTTCATCGATCTTAACCATGTACATTCTCTACTAGCTTCATTTAGTGCAATTACTTCAACATGATTTGAGGACGTGGCAACAAGTGTTTGCTTTTAAGAACGCCAGGAAATTGCAGTACCTCCATTCATGAATACGTATCCAGTTTGTGATCTAGCTTTATGAGGATCAAACAAATAATTTGCATCTGCATAACCAATCAAGCCTTCTTTTGAATTGTTAGGATAAAATAACCCTAAATCACTAGTTCCTCGAAGGTATCGAAAAATATGTTTGATTCCATTCCAATGTCTTTTTGTTGGGGCTGAACTAAATCTTGCTAGCAAGTTTACAGCGAAAGAAATGTCAGGTCTAGTACAATTGGTAAGATACATAAGAGCTCCAACTGCATTAATGTATGGTACTTCTGGACCAAGGACT